TCACTTCCATTTCGTACAACGACTCTTCGGGTTGCCGTCTTAACAGTTCTCGCTGCAATTCGACGATCTTGTCGGCCATGGATTGCGCGTGCTCGTCTGCCTTTTTCGCGGCCGCCTCCACAATCCGTCTGCTTTTCACTTCCTCGTCGTATCGCTTGCAAGCCGTTTTCAGGTTTTTTTCCAAGACGTCCACCCGCTTTTCGTACATGGACATCGCGGTCTTGGCGAGCGTCGACTCTTTTTTCAGCGCGCTGATTTTGTCGTCTTTCTCTTCCAACTCCTCTTCCAAGTCGGCGTGCGATCTCTCTCGGTCTTTCAGTTTGCGGACGGCTTCCTGCAGCTTTTGCTGCAGCTCGAGTCCGCTCTCTTCAGGTGGTGGCTGCTTCGACTTTCTCCTCGCGGCTTTCAGATCCGATTCCAAGCGAACCACGTCCAGATCCCTTTCCTTCAGTGCATCCGTCTTGGAAGCGAGTTCGGTCTTGAGACGTTCGACATCTTCCTCCGCGATGCTGCGAACGTCGGACGATTCTCTCAACGCGGACATCTTCGCCTCGTGTATTTCGTCTTTTAATTTCTGTATGACGACTCTGGCTTCGGTGAGTTCTCGTTCCTTTTCCGCAAGTTTGTCTTGCACCTCGTTCAGCTTCTGGTTGCCCAGTTCCAACGTACGTTCGTTCTCCTTCGCCGATTCTCGACGTTGCGCATCGAGATCTTCCAGCGCGACGGACTTGGGAGTCGCCGGCGTCGAAGACGACGACGTGGGTCTCGCGTGCGTCTCCGGTTCGTCTGGAAATCGTCGACCGTCTTGAGACGGATCCCACTCCAGATCGTCGTTTTCGTTTTCCCGAAGGAATCCAGAAGTGTACTGCTTCCAGTCGGCGTCCACCCACCTCACGTTTGGCGTCAATAGCGAACTTTCCTCGTCCGCGTAAGGTGGAAGATCTCCCGTCGGCGTCGCTGCCCCGCCGTCGTCGCCGGCGTCGTCGTCCTCGTTGGCAGCTTCTCTTTCGATTATTTCTTCCATGTCGCGATAGTCCTGCGAATTGAAGTCGTACGGGAGATTGGATGGAGGGCCTTCGCGGTCGCTTACTCTCCTTCCAGTTCCCGTCGTTTCCTCAGGTTCAGTGATCACGGGAAGGTCGCCGAGGGCTTCGGAATCCAACACGGATTCCGCATACTGTTGCTCCAGTTGCTGCGGTGCACGCTCCGCGGGTAACGGCGCGATCTCCAACTCCTCCGTAGTCGTCGGTGGCGTGACGAAGGCATTCTCTTCTTCTCCGTCGTCGTACCGTTCCAAAGCATCGAAGAGCTCGTTGGCGGCGCCGGAATCTCCTCGATCGTCGGACGTCGATGGACGCTCGTCTGCACGCGACCGGCTTGGAAACCTCTCTTCTAACCGAAGCAGGTTTCGGTAGCTGGCTTCCGAAAGATCGTACCGACATCTCTCGGTCGCTTCCACGCTTTTAGTCGGCGTGTCCAACGCTATCGACGAACCCGTCATAATACGTGGGGAAGGGAACTTGC